TCACAAAGGACTAACCCTCTCATTTTCCCTAAATTTCCTAAAATGGACTTTTACTTATTTATTCAGTGTTCTTTCATGTTCTAATTACAAGTTAAATTTAGCACTCTGATCATCTTCATTCAATAATCCAGACAGTGATAACCTGTTTTGAGGAACAGCCAATGCCTACACTAACGAACACTGCTGCCAATCAAAACAGACCTTAACAGCAGAGCAACCATCTATTAGATGAAGAACATTTTTACTTGGCCAGTGATTGTGTGCTATCTCTGCTGAAACCCAAACTTCCACACTATTTTTAGTCTCAGTTAAGGTCATACGATTTCTATCGACTACAGCGTATGCAAAAACTTTCATGAAGAATCCAGTCCTGGGTATCTGACAAAATCTCTCCGTTGCCCAAGATCTTTTTGTGTCCACTCTTACAGCACAGCCACTAAAACAGGTCATAAGCACACTTCCAGTAAGATCAAATAGAAACAAGAAAGCTCATCTCCCATTGACATAACAAAAAGTCCCATTCACTTACACAACTGCATTCTACACTGCAATATTACACATTCTGCAGGGGCATGTGCTTTTATGCCACACTTTTATGAAGGACTTTTCACATCTTGAAGTTTAGTGTTGCTAAGCAAAGTTGGCATAACTTACAGTTTCATAACTAAAACCAGTTATTTATGTACCCAACTGGCTCCTGCCAAGTAGATACAGGGTTTCAAGAACAGGAAGAGATTCTTCCCACCTGGGGAAATTCTAGTCATCTTAAATAAAACTTTCTGAACCCATTGTCCTACCTACAGCCAGAACATTTCTCTAAGAATTAACACTGAAACTCATCAAAAAGCAGGCAGCCCAGCTGATCAGTTGTCACTTGCAGGTCTTTTGTCCTACAAGACATCTTCCATAATCAAACAGAGAAAGACATTCAAAGGACAAATACAGTGGTGGAAAAATAAAGATTTAAACCCAACTGTACATCTGTTTCATTGTTCTGTTGCACAAACTAATTACGAGTAGCTAAATGTTTTAAGGTGGTCTTTCTTCCCCATCTTTCATTCAATCCTTACTCAGCACTACGTGTATTAAATTCTGGAAATTTTCTACAGAACCACCTTCTAATTTTTCACCACCTAACTTCCAGCTCAGTTTGACTGGGGGTACAGGGAAATAATTTCTCACTCAAGAATCAACTTATTCTGCTACCCCAAAAAATCCCTTGACTAAGGCAATTAGGACAAGTATAAAATATTTACCATAGCGATGTAGCTGTAACTTAGAACAATCTCTCGAATCTTCCTCATCTCTTCTTCCAGATTGTTCGCCCATACTTCACAGATAACCTGGCTGTTCTCTGCAAGGGCCGCTGGCATCTTGCAGGCACCACAGTAAAGACAGCTGATATTGAATTCAGATGACAGCGTAGAACAGCAAGCTGTGTGATCTTATCAGTGTGCTGCATTAAACAGATAAATAAATAATGCTTTATATGAAAAAGATCTACATATAAGAATTGAATGCTCTGTTGGAGTCTGTCACACTTCCATTTTCAGCTTCAAATAGCCCATTTAAAGTTTACACAAAGTTTTTTCTTGCTTTTATCACCTCCTATAAACGTGCTGAACAAGAAAAAAGTCGTTTACAAGAGCATCTGTTCTGGTGACCAGGTGGATGCACAATTAACAGTCTGGTTATTTATGAGAAGAGTCATTCTCCCTGTCTTTCTTCTTCTCTGGCATAAGCCCTGAAACTCTGGGCGTACGATGCACAGGCAGGGAATCCTCACATTTAATACTCAGCCACTGTGACAGCCTTTACTGACAGTAACAGAATGCTTTACAGACTACATTTAGAGATGTGAGCTTCTCTGACGTAATTCATGAAACAACGAAGTAAGGTATTTCAGCTCACACTAATGGCAGCTTCAGCAGTGCTACACCGAGGATAAAGCACCGGTTGTTTACCGTTTCCTGCAACAACACGGGAAAAACGACCCCAGCTTTCCGCAGGCAGGGGTCAAGCGCTCCGACCGGCGGCCGGGCCCTGCGCGCCGTTACCCGGGGCTGCACGCGGCGGCCGGAGGGCCGTAACGCCACGGGGGGGGTGTCTGTGTGTCCGTCCCTCCCCCTCAGTCCGCCGGCGAAGGCCGCGCTGCCTCAGGCCCCGGGCCCGTCCCGCCGCCGCCGGCCCCGCGCAAGACCGGGGCCGCCCGGACGCGGCTCATCCCGCTCGGGAAGCGGGAGGGTCCTGGCACAGTGTCGCGAGTGTCCCGTGTCGCGACCACCCCCCCCCCCGCCGCCCCCTCAGCCCCTCACCGCGGCCCCGCCCGCACCTGCTCGCGCGCTCCCAGTCCCCCCCGCCACTCGTCTGCTCCGGCGCTCCCCATAGCCTTCCCCGCCCACCCCCTTCCCCCGCGCGCGCTACCTGCCCGGAGGGCGGGGCCGGGCCGCTCCCCTGCGCGCAGGCGCGGCTGCGGCCTCCGGCGCGGGGGGCGGGACTTCCGGGTTGGCGCTCGGCTCTCGCGAGAGGTCCGGCGGAGCGGCGGCAGGGCGCGCGGCGAGGCGGGTAACGTTGCTGCGCGCGCCCTCCTCGCGGCGGGGCGCGCGCCCGCGGTGGGGCGGAGCGAGGAACGCTCACGCGTGGGGGGGGGGGGGTCTGCGCCGCAGTGCGCCTGCGCAAAGCCGGTGGCCTTGTGATGAGTTGTCACACACCACCAGCACCACCTCCTACCCCTCCCCTCCCCCCCCCCCCAGTGCGGTTAATGGACTCGCCCGGGCTTTGCGCTCTGGGAGCGGCGGGCGAGCCCAAAGTGCACGGGCGGGGGGGGATGAGGGAGCAGGGCCCTCGGGGCCGGGCGGCCTTGGGCTCGGTGGGTTTCCAGCATGCGGGCGCGGGGTGCGGCAACCCAGCAGGCAGGTTCCCAGGGGCAGGAGCAGGGGCAGGCCCTGGCTGAGCGTCCCCCGAAGAAATAGTTGTCCGCCCCTCCCTCACCGGAGGGCGACGGGCGGGTCGCGGCGGAGCCTCTCAGCGGTGCTGCTCGGGGCCCGACCCTCCCCGCAGGCTCACGGGCCTCGGCAGCGCGGCCCGGCGGGACGAGGGTGGGTTGTTCAAGGCCGTGAGGGCAAACTGCTGCTGTCCTGGCACGTGTTGTGGTCCGTGGCAGACTCCTTAGTCGAGGAAGTTCTGCCTTTTCCTGCAGGAGCTTAGAAGTCCTCGTTCGAGTGCCTACTATGTCTGCAAACTTTTAGGCTGACTTCTCCTTTTCCGGAAACGCTATTTAAATTATACTAGCAGCAGAAGTTTGTATCCGGTAAAGCAGCATAATGTAAATTCTTGTGTAACACAGCTGCCAACACTTGCTTTGCTGGTTGATGCTGACGGCAGATACTGAATTTATTTGGAAGCTTGTCTACTAAACATTTAGCTTAGGCAGTATGTCCTATATTTTAGATTGCCAGCCTTCTGGACAGGGTTGCATCTGCTATAAATTACTGCAGTTCTTGTACTGATACAGAATTGTTACCTGCCCACCATTTGGGAGTCTTTCACTGGATCTCAGCTACTTGCCTACCATTTGGATACCAGTATCTGGAAAAACAAAATCTTGGTATCATTTACACTTAAGACATGGTTTATTGTCCCAGGTTTAATGTTCATACCTCAGCAGAAACATAACTTTTAGAAAAGTACTGCTCTCTATCAAGTGACCTTGGTGCTGTCAGCATCTTATGACATCCCATTATTGAATGTTATTTTGATTCAAAGTTTATCTTCAAAGATGATAGATAGTTACCATTTTGCCTTCTCAGCTCTGCAGTCTCTTGCATTGCATAATTCATATATTATGCAATGTGCTAGATTGGCAGAAAGTAATCACCTTTCTTCCCGTGGTCACTTGAGTTTGGAATTTTGTGCAAGAAAACATACATTGTTAGCAGGTAAATATAGCAGGTTGAATTACAGCACTCTTTAGAGTTCTAGGTTAGATTTTTTTTCCTAAAAGGTTCAGACTAAAATACATCATTTTTCTTGTTCGTAAACCCAGTGCTTGAAAGAATGCTGAATCTAGGGAAAAAGGGAGGCAGAGTCTTCTCAGGACACTAAAAATATGTGTGCCTTGCTACCCTAATAAAAAAAATATTGCAGGAAATAATCACTTGCGATAAATAATGCTTGTAATGTTTAACTGTTTGCATGTAGTTTAAAAAAAAAAAGGCTATTCAAGGATGTTTACGAACACTAGTGGTAAGAGCTGGAAACATTTTGCTTAGGGAAATCAGAATTTTTTTAATTGTGGCTAATTTTGATCATGGCTAATAAAGATGAAGAATAGCTGGAAAAGGCACCCTGCTCTTTAAAAAAGCCCATAATTCTTGTATTTGGAAGTTACCAAAGTTTCTTCCAGGCCCAGAACTCTAAAGCAGGTTCTTGAGTCCTCACACACTCTATATGGTTCTGTTAAGACCACAGCAACAAAACAGTTTGTGTAGATCAACTACATTCTAAGGTGGAAAAAAGGGCTTTAGCTCAACATTTTCACATAAGTCAGCTGGAGCCACACATCCTGGACCGTGCCCTGTTGAAATGGCTGTGCGTTTCCTTTAGAGCTTAGTAACAGCATCACAAATGATAGAAAACTTACGGAAATCTTAAAACATGAATTGAGAGGTAAAAGATGCAGCTATTGCTGAACATGTTTGAACCATAACAGCAGGGCCATAATTTACACTTTCCTAACCCTTCCATTGCTCCACAGATGTTTCCGAAGAATACCACCGGAGTACTAGGTGGTGCCACATGTGTGTCCTGGCAGATGGTTAGAAATGGAGTTCAGAATGCAGGGAATTACTGGTTGGGTGAGGGGGGCCGAGTTCAGATTCCTCTTCGACATTAGAGGAACTATCAGTGTGGGTTTATACGACCCTGATGGATAATTCATCGTTTTTCTCCTAATGTTTTTTGTTTTGTTTTTTTTTTTTTTTTCAAACAGTGAAACAAACTGACTGTTACAAAAACTGTGGAGAGTGAACAAAGGGAGGTTATTTTATGAAGTGCCTGATCAAAAAGCCTTTCTGCTGAGATGAAATCAGACTTCTTGCATGCCTCAGCAAAGACTGCACCAACGCTGGAGTCTTTGTGGTGAACACACCAGTGCAGGGCACAGGCGAGCCAACAGGCAGAAGCCACTTTAGGTTACTGCCAACCTGCGCTAGACACAGACTTGCAGCAGAGAGTAAATTACGTTTACAACCTTATAACTAACATGCTGAGCTGTCTGTTGCTATTGAGTATAAATATTTCAGAGATAACCTGTGTCAGGATTGAACAGCGGTTAGAAAGAAACACTGAGGTCTGTGAAATTCACTGGTTTATCACCTGGTTTTGGGTATTGGATGAGCAGTCCTCCCAGTGCAAGCTCAAGTCCAAATAAAGATCAGCTCAGGACAGAATTTATATGGGACTCCTCTCTTGAAATGCCTGTTTCCACTTCCTTCTGTGCACGTGTGTGTATAATTTGAAGGAATCACATTCCTCCCTGTTGAGTCTGCTGTCTTTGATAAATAACAATTAGTAGCAATGGCTAAGAAGTACAAACTTTTTCCCCAATAAGGAATAGTTAGGATTAGTCAAGAGAAAGTGTCAATGAAAACAGTAACACAGTCTTAAATCTAAAATGAAGCCACAGTGAATGTTTACCACACTAAGAGGTCAGACAGTGTGCAGTTGGGAGGGAGTGGAGTTCTGGGAATATTCTCCTTCTGGAAAAAAGTTAATTGGTAAAAATACAGATGCAGCAGCAGGTACAAGAAACCAGGTGCAGACAGCGAGGCACCGCTGTTATTCATGCTTGCAGATCTCTCTGTAGCTCTAACTGATAGCTTGAGATGTTGCTTACCAGACAAGTGTGTGTGTTGCTTCACCTGTGAATGGCCACACAAGGCTAACTGTGAGGCAGAGGTGATATTCCTTGTTTTTCTTTGTGTGGAAATATAAATCTGGGAAGTTATGGCAAGTATCACCCTGAATTCTCAGAGCTTAGTTCATAATAGGGCACTGTGTATTAGGTAAGTAACATAGATTGGGGCCACATTTGCATAATAAAGACCAATGCTTCTGCAAATCACATCTTGCTCTCTGCAATACCATAATTACAGACTTTATGGTCTGTAAACAGCGTATTTAAAGACAACTGAGCCCAAGCACATGCTAACCTATTTGCATCTTGTCCTTACAGATGGAACCAGTACCTGCAACTGGCTGAAGACACTATGTAGCTACAGCGTTGGTGTAATTTATAGACTTATAAATGGGTCAAATACACCTTTGACCCATTCAGTTGCACCGGCACTAGGCACTTTGTGCTCAAAACATGAGTTGGTGCATTATAAAAACTACTTATCTTTAAGGTGTAGATGACATTTTTATTCTCAGATACAGCTGTTAACTCTTGATGAAAAACTCCTACCTGCAGAGATGTATTCCAGACACTTAACCGAGTGACAGCATGCGCATATGCCCAGGGAACGCTGCCAGTACTAACAGTGTCATGGCACTGGCTTCACATGACTTGTCTGGGAGGGGACAGCCAGCTCCTGCTTGGAAACACACCCCCCTCGCCTTGCCTAAACCCTCATAAAGTTTCCACAGCAGTAGTGAAAGGTGAGGAGTTGAGCTGTGGGCTCTGAATAGACACAAAGGACCTCTCCTAGGCTATCAACAGCAAGAGGTGAGCAAAGAACGGGCAGCCAGAGTTCAGGGGTGTAGTAGCTTGAAAAGATGATAGAAACTTTGAGGAAATCATGAAAAGACAATGTCATGTGTCTGTGTAAAGTACGACCGTAAGCTTTTTTAGGAACTCTGGTTGCCTCCAGATCTGTGCAGTGCTTGGCACAGTAGGACATCCACCAAACACGACGTCTAGTCCTGTGTCTGTCCACATAGTGCGGCTGATATGCAACTTTTCAGGTGACCGGGTAAGTTGTCCTTATGTTTTCCTTTCTATACATTCTATACTTTCATGGATAGTCCTAGCCTGGTTTTGTCTCAGGCGCAGTTGTTTTCCACTGTCCATGCACTATAAAGGTTGATTCCAGTGAAGTAAGGTCTACAACAGAAGGTTCAAGCAGAATGGAAAAAGGAATACCAGGACCCTGTGGTAGGGAGCCAGTCGTCCCAGCAGACGTACCCTGTCACCCAGCTGTGCCTGCCAGCAGCAGGACTCCGGCTGGTGTTGGAAGAAGGATCCAGTGCTGGGTACAATACTGGGTACGAAACAGGGAGAAACGGGCACGTGTGCAGCCTCAGCTTGCAACTATCTGGGCAACAGAAATGGTAGGGGACAGCAGGGATGGGACATAAGAATGTAAATGTTAAAACAAACAAAGAATATGGCAGCTCTTCCCTTTTCAGATTATGTTGAGCATTTTAAAACATGACTCAGACAAACTAGCTTTTTCTGATACCTGAAGTGGAAAATTTGGTGAACACAGCTCTGTGACTTAATGAACAGTTGTTGGACAAATGGTGAAGTACATGGAAATAATAATTTAAAAAGTATTAGAATTCTTTATTGACTAGTGTATGTTTCCCCTTTAACATCAAGAGACTGACTAGAAAAATGATTACATTTACTTCAGGGTTTAGGATTTGGTTTGGATCAAATTTGGTGTTAACTTATTTGAAATAACTGAAAAGGAGCTTTTCTTTTAAAACAGCACCAGTTCTAGCTAATATTTGGAAATAGCTGCAGGCAGCTGAGATCCTCACTGGTTGATTCGGGGCTGTATAACATGCCAACATGAGATCAGTGCCAAGCAGTTGAATGGCTTTTTTGTTTGCCGAAACAGCCATGGTTACACGAATGCTTTTTAAATGTATTTGGTGTATTCTGAATCAGAAGAGACGTTATCCAACAAAAAAAGAGTAGGTAATGAGATGTTGGGGAAAACCTAATCCATCAAAATTTATCTTGTTTTAATGTAAATAGTATAAAATTTTGTCCTGTAAATGTGACTTAGTAGTGTATTGAGATTTTGAGGAGAGGGAGGGTGAGCAGACATGGCAGTACTGTTTTGAACTGGAATTCTTTGCCCAAGCAAGACGTCTATCATAATTTGATTATTTTAAAAGGAGCACTACTAGAAATGTGATTATAATTTTAATTCTTTCCTAAACTCACAGAATAGGAGGCTCAGTCAAGCAATGGCTTTTTCTCCTCCTAAAAACTAAAAGCAGAGTCACATTTTCTACTGTGCTCTGCTTTCTACTCTTCACATGCCAAGATTGAGCAGAGTTTGACTCAGCACTACTGTATGGAGGAACAATTCTGAAGCATCAGCTTTCCAGCAAGCAGCTGAGATACCCATTTTATGTCTGCCTCTCTGAGATCTAATGTTGTCTACTTCAGGGTCATCAGAGTAGAATAATCTCTTTAACCACAGAAAACTATGGCCAACAATGTTTACTGCACTGACCTAGCAGGATAATTTCAGATTGCTGTTTTCAGATCCCTACTGGATGGTCGTAGAGAAGACAGGGAGGTGCACAGCAAAAGGGCAAGAGCTGTGAGTTATAACAGGGGACATTCTGATTAGTTACTAGGGGGAAAAAAAAAATGTAGAGTGAAGGTAGTCAAATACTATAATAGATTTCCCACAGAAGCTGTGGAATCTCCCTCCATGCAATTACTCAAAACTGTTCAAGGCTCCAAACAACCTCCTAAGAAATCTGGAATGGAGTAAAACCTCAAAAAGGAATGGATTATTTAGCTTGACATATTGCAAGCATTAGTAGTGTTTTCTTGGAGACAGTGGTCACACCTGCCTGGGGAGGACCTGTGTGACAAGATGGGCATATAGTGCGTGCTAGGTAACATAAAATGCATCACTCTGATCAGAAGGTCTTTTGGAAATGAAGATCAATTTGTCCTGTATCAAGTTATTTGCACTCTTCTATTGAGGCTAGCAGGTTATTTGTGACCGCTAGTTACAGGTATTCATCAGATATGCTGGAGCCCAACCATATTTTTTCAGTAAGGTTGTGATTGGCAAACTTGATATGTCAGAGGAAAAAAAAACGTACAGAAGATCTCATAGACTGGCTTTAGGAGCTCGCAAAGTCTAACAGCAAGGAGCTCTAGATCTGGGGAAGGACAATAAGTCCTAGGACACTGTGGCTTGCTTAACACATTGTCATTTTAAGAAATAGCACCTCAGGGCACCTCTCACCCTACTTTTTGCCTTTTTTTTTTTTTTTTTTTTTTTTAAGGCAGCTACCAAAAGTTAGCATTTCCCATGGGAGTACATACAACCCTCGTGTCGAAACAGGGAGTTGGGAGTTCAGGCTCATGGTTTCAAGTTTCAGATCACTTTTTGCCTGATTTTTTTTTCTTCTCAGAACCATTTAACATCAGCCTCTTCCACTAAAGTACATAGTTTGGTGGATTGGCCTTGTCCTTTTCTGTCCGTGAGTAAACAAGAATCCAAGCAGAAAGAAGGTGTCCAATTTTTCTGTCTTGTGCCCCTTGACTTGCATACTAACATGTAATGTAGGGAAACAGAGCTGGAAACACCTGTAAATAAACAGAATTGCATTTGTAAGAACATATCCAGAAAGCTGTAATTTCAAAGCTAAAATATAACTTCCTGGCTAATATGGGGACTTCTTTTGGGCAGTGTATTCTTCCTTTTTGAAACACTGTGAGAGGAGTACTCCCAAGAGGCTTGCTACCATCATAAAGGTAACAGAATATCATCTTTCTAATTAATAATTTTCCAACTGCTTTTCTTTGTTCCTTAGACAGGTACCTTTATACCTTCTTTGTGCTTTCCTTTGTTACGCTGGGTAACACAGTTTGCCTGTGTTTGAATATTCTTCTGAATATGAAAAGCAAAATGGATTGTACAATTGTCAGAAATCTGGCCTTCATATTTTTAGAATTTGTGTGTTTAAGAACAAACACCAGGTGAAACCAAGAAAACCTGAAGGAATATTTTGTTAGCTTTTGATAATTATAATTTATGATCAGAGTGCAGCAATATAAAAACAGCTATGCAATAATCCCTAGGACAGCCACAGAATGTTCTGAAATATAGAGATCTTTCCGTGGCCATGGACAGCAGTGAAGGGCCAGCAGCTTCTTAAACCTTGAGTTTGATGATTTTTTTTATTCTTTTTTTTTTTTTTAATGTTTTGTTAACAAATGACAACATGTGACAACAAATGGTCAAACCAGAGCCAAATGCAAGGAGATTTATTATGCAGTGACCACCTGTCCATGTAGGGCTTTAACCCCTCAAATTGGCCATAGCAAGACTTGAAGCAAAGATGATTTTCTCACTTACCATGTGCTTAAGCTGTAATTTACAGTTCCTCTGCCACATAAGTGAGGGCTGTGTGGGGCTCTGCTGCATTAATTCTTCATGGCACAAACTCACTTTGTTGGATTTTTGTTTTCATCCTTGTTAGTTTAACAGCATGTCATTGTTACGGAAGAGCGCATGTCATCCTTTCCTTGCAGTCTGCGAAGGGCTGGAGTTCTTACTGCTTGCAATGTATTCCTGGGCCAGATCAAGGGAGGCAGCTATGCCACAACACACCAGTGCCACGATCAAAAGCTTTTATTTTGGCTGTTCTCCCATTTTTCTTTGTTACCCTTGCATCCTTATTAGTCTTCTGGGACAATACTAACTCACTGGGAAATAAGGGGATTTTTCTTCTCAAGAGCTCAGTTTTGCTCCATGTCCAACATGAAGGAGGGAGCAGGACAGGACAGAGAGTAAATATTTTACAGTTTTGCAACTGAACTCGGAAGTTGAGGGGATTTGCCGTTGTCAGCAATGTGTTCTTCTACTCTGTAGCTGTACAAGGTTCACTCACTTAGATCACCTTTTATTTCAGATGAAAAGAGACTCTGGATATTCCACCACGGCTGAGCAGCAGAAGCAGGTAAAGGCTCAAGGTCATCTTTTAAAGGAAGTGTTATGGAGGTGCTTTGGAAGGCTGGATGTGTTGAATCATCTTCTTTTACAAGTGACTGGCACATCTATGCTCTGATCATTTTAGCACAACTAGGAGCTTATCTCTTATCACTACAGCATTTTCCCAGCATTTTCCCCTTTCAGTGGACTGCAGCTACAGTACCAAGTAGTGAAGGGCCTGTTATCTCTGCTGGCATGGCAAGAGACTACAACACTCCCCTGTAACGAGAAGCTGTGCCATCTAACTGGGCCCAGTCTTCCAAGTGGTCCTGCTTAACAATATGTTTCCCAGCTGATGTGCCTGTCTCTTTACCCTGCAGGCAGTGACCCTGTTCTGCATGTAAGGAATTTTCCATCTTGTACAAGCCCTTTAAGGGCAAGATCTCAAGTGATCCATGGATCAGAGTGTGGAAACTACCGTGTTGGAGCTGTTGGCATGAAGAGAAACAGGGTGTTAGCACTTGGACTTGATGAACAAGATTTTTTTTTTCTATGTAAACTTCTCTGCTTCTACAGCTCACGTAATTATACTGTGTGGGATTCATTCACGTAATCACTTCATCGTGTGCAATAAAAACACAGCCTCAAAACAAGGCAGTTTCTAGCCAAAGGGCTTTTAAAATAGCTTATATACTGAGCTTTAGTGTCTCTCTGTCCTATCTCAAAGCAGGACATACACAGTGTTTGATGAGTATTAGCAGTTACTAGTTTTTGAAACTCTTGAGTTCTTCAGCTGGAAAACGCTAAACAATCTGAAATACTATTTGGTCTAACTAAAAATTCTGACACTTGTAAGTTTTTCTTTGTTACGTTCTTCCTTCATCCCAGGAGAAAGAAAGGTTTTATAGGATATAATTCTGTTAAAAAGCTCTAAGCTTTTTATAGCTTTTGTAACCTTTTTTCTGAAGAATATGCAGATGGTGTTCCAGGGTCTAAAGATTAAGAAAGTCTTATCTCATGCCAGCCTACATGAGGTATAACATGGATGTAATTGGAAATACGAATCTGCTAAGAGAGCAAATCTCCAGCCTAGAATCCAGCCTGCACTATCTGAAGCTGGAATAGAAGGCTTTGGTCAGCCTTGGATTTGTAGTTCAGTACACCCAGTGATAATGCCAGCAACTGATTGCATTGCTTCTGATATAAACCTGTAGGGTTCACAAACATCAAGCTGTAAGGCAAGAGTCCATTAAATTACTTCCAAACCACATGCTAACTTGATTTAAAAAAAAAAAAAAAAAAAAAAAAGATGATAGGAGGAAACAGTTGTTTGTTTTAATGAGGAAAGTTTCAGTGCTAATGAGCAAAGTTCTGTCCCGGGACAGATAAATATTGCTGACAAGTCCTGGGCAATATTTAATGTTCTGTGGCTGTTACAGAATCTTAAAGAAGCTCTTAGCACTGAAAGCCATGTAGAGAGGATTCCTCTATATTGCATTACCCTAAACACACCTGCATTCAATCTTTATTAGTGAGCTGTCTCTCTTGTTTGTCCTCTCTGACAGGAGACAAGAGGACAGTAACTATGAATCATGCTATTTTTACTCCAGTCTGTTTGTGCAGCACAACGCCACAGTTAAAAAACAGGAAGGACGGAGTAATGAACAAGACACTAGCTGGTTATTATACTATATTATTTTAGAATGTCATTGTTTGTTTGTTTGTTTTTTTTTTTAAACATTTATCCTGCAGATAAATATAATGCATATTGACCCAAGAAAACCCAAACTAAGATTGCTGAACTTCAGAACCAATTCAGACTTGGGCTACTCTAAAAGACACATAGTTAATTATATATTTGTCATATATTTGCTAAACAACTTGGTTTTGAATATTTAAATGCTCAAATATATTGAACAGTGTTTTTTGAATATATTTACTCCTGGAATCAAAAGGTCTCACTGGTAATTTTCTGACTCTCTTGCAGTTGCTTTGTATAGTTAAAATCCTTACTAAGAGTCATGCTAACATCACAGGTGCCCTTATGCTATAGATGGGAATATTTCTTCAGTAGGTAACATTTCTGTGACTGAGAGCAGGGATTTAAAGACCTTTATACTTTTGAGAAGTTGAGTATTTTAGCTCCTTGTTAATGTGCAGTTGTTCTATCCAGATGGCACATGGTACCTACTAGCCAACTTGTACTCTCAGTACTAGAACTGAGTTGTCCCTGTGATGGCCTAAAGACACAGCAAAGTGAATTATGCAAGGAAAGGTAATAGCCTGTATTAAACCTCTGTTATCCCATATAACCTCTCCTCTATACTCTGTATATAGCTTCTGGGCACGTGAGCCTGACTTCAGAATCAGTCTTCAAAGCAAAGAAGAAAACTGAGAGGAGTGGTTCTGGATTAAATGGAGCTGTTAATCAGATCATCTGAGCACAGCAGTTCTTGCCTACTGTGGGGAGAAAGCACACTGCATACTGGGAGGGAGAAAATACGGAGGGAGGGAGGTGTTGAGACAGAGCACTGTTTCTTACCCCCCAGGTCTTGCTTTACTACTGCTCTGCATTGTCCAGAAGCCCCTTATATTATTACCCTTCAGGTAATACAAAGCGTGCCAAATAAAAACAGAGGGAAAAATCAGCGGTCCTTTCTCTCCCTTTGGTTATTCCAGAGAAATTCTGTGTCAGTGACACTTCAGGTCTCTATAAGCATGGCAGACGTTCATGTGTGTAGTCTCCCCCTCAGTTACGCACCATATCCCATAACAGCTTCATTATTATGTTCGTTAGAGAGTTTGTGAAACAAAACAGGCCATCATAGAACTGCCTTTACCTCCTGCATTTCAAATACAAAAATGCTAGTGTAGGACACAGCAGCACATGCTCACTCTTGATGTTTGCTCACAGGAAGAGAAGCTCTGGGATGCCGTGAAGATCACTGCCTGCGTCCTTGGTACAGGCCTGCTCATATTTACTGTCTTGGTGAACTCTGTTTCTTGGTAAGATTGTTCAAACAAGGGGGCTTGAGGAGAAACTTTTCTGTGGAGAGGGGGAAAAGGGGATGATGAAAAGATGGGCAACCAAGAACGTTTATTCCCACAGGTACATGCAGAATATCTGGGACACTTTAGGCCATTTCTGGCAAACAGCATGGCTAAAGTTCTACTACTTGTTTGAGGGAAAGGAGTGGACAATCTTCCTCCTCGGTGAGTTTTAACAACTCTCTGCTGTAGGAGGAACCATCCATGTATTACATCTAAAATGGGGACATAGACGTGCCTTCCCAAACTCACTAATCCTCCCACTGAAAAAGCACATGTAGGCTTCAAAGCCAGCCACAGCTGATGTAGTGCAACTGTGCTGCCTGGGGACTGCTTCACCATTAGACCCCCCATACAGATTGAAAATTTAATCTTTTTGCTGCTGCTGAAATGGCTTCCCTGTGAGGATATTTTGCTCCTGTGAGAACTAGATGATTCAGTAAAACTAATTACTGAAAATTAAAGTTAATGAATTTTACTCTTTCTGTAGCACCTATAAAACTCTTCTCTGATTAACAGCTGGTGAACAGGCCTAGTAGGGACCTTACAAGGTCCCAGGGATCAACTCAACCTTATCTTACTGGTATTTAAAAACCACCCATGACAGAGATCCCCAGCCTCCCAGAAAAGCCCTTTCACTTGTGGCAAGTTTCAACTTATGAGACATTTGTCTACTCTAACCTCCCCATTCCCCAGGTCTTACCTTTCCTCTTGAAACCACCTCAGGGTAGGGGATACATACCTGGCACATCTGGGTCCCAGCAAGGTTCTCTGGATACTGTGCCACTGTATTTTGTTTCCGATTTAGCCACAGCTCTCAGTTTATTCCCACATCTCTGCCCTTTCCTCACACCACAGGGACTGGAGTGGTGCCTAGCCTTGCTTTCTGGGGCTTCAATGGAATCCTTATGGTGGCTGATGTAACAGGAAAGCCAACCTTCATTACTCGCTATCGCATTCAGCTGGGCAAGAATGATCCTGTAAGTATTTCTCACTCTGCCTCTTCTGCTGGCTAAACACTTCCTGCAGTCTCTTAGTCTAGGATCAGGGAGAAGAACCTGTTATGCCTTTCTCTCTCAACCAGGTAGGATTTGAGGAGAATCAAGCTGAGTCTTGTCTATCCACTGCAGAAAGGAAGGCAGTTCTTGTAATTAGGCTACTAATCAGATCTGGATTGACTGCTTGTTAAAAAGTTGATCCCAAAGCTAATGTGGAAGCTGCCTACAAATGTTAAAGCTCTTTATCCTTCCAACTCAAAGCTGCATTGCTTCTGACTTAGCCTCAAGTCCTGACTTCTTTTTTTCAGGTGGACACAAAGAAATTGCGCCAAGCCATCTGCACAGCGCTGTGTAATCAGTTCTTTGTCTCTTTGCCCATGCTTGTGCCCATGTTCTACGTCATGAAATGGTGGGGCAATACCTTCAGCAAGGAATTACCCACCTTCCACTGGTTTCTTGTGGAGCTGAGCATCTTCACCTTAATAGAGGAAATTCTCTTCTATTATACACACAGGTGAGCTGAGCACAGGAACAGGACTCCGTAGTTTTGCTCCATGCCTTTAAGCTTATACCCATCTCCTGAAACAACAGGAGTCCTAATTTCCCCTCTTCCACCAATCTTGTATTTATATGGGAAGACTTGCCGGTCCTGAAATCCATGCTTACAACATGAGGCTTTGGTGCTGCCAGTAACTGCAGTAAGCAAAAATGGGTAAAATTACAAAGGTGGAGCAGCTTAGAAGCTAAGAAAGAAACAAAACAGGGAGCTTTACACAAAAGCTGTGACCCAGCATTATTTGAAAAGAGAAGAACAAGACTGACTATCCTGAAAGAAAAAAGCTCATGAGGTCAGTGACTGATCTCCCATTCACTTGTACAGCACCTACAAAACGGGGCCTGGCTGCTGACACTGCAGGCTTTCTAAGCACTGATACCAACATTAGAGGAAAAAACTAAAGCAAAGAAGAAAAAAGCCTGCAAAAGACCATGCAGCAGCAAAGCACGGCATTCTCAGAAATATGTATGTTTCCCTTTTGGACAAATGCACACAAAAAAAATAAAAAGCCACTTCTTACAAAGGACCCGCAGAACCTAAAATTCTGAATCTAATAGTTGCCAGTAGGAAAAGTCAAACCAGTGACAATTTAAAGCGAGTCTTCCCCTAAGTAGTACTCTCAGGTTTGAGCAAATGAGTCATTCAGGGACACTGATTTGTGGGATTTATGGGGACTGAAGTTTAACGTGTGCCAGTGGACACATCGATCAAGTGAGGGCTCAATACTAAAGAAGGAGAGAGCGAGGGAAGCCAGGAGTCCTACACACTTACACCCAGCTGCTCTGAAATCTTTATGTAAAAGGGGGGACCTAAGCAAGACCACAGCAGAAATTCTGTGTTATATTGTTGGATGTTCCTTTCTTGCAGCACTCCAAACCTTCTCTTCTCTGTTTTCTCTGCTTAGGTTTGTTCACCTCCCATTCCTGTATAAGCACATTCACAAGAAGCACCATGAGTGGACATCCCCCATTGGCGTGGTCTCCATTTATGCTCACCCGGTAGAGCACGTAGTAAGTGAATTCTCCATGGTCCCTCTCTGGTTTCTGCACGGAATGTGATTTCCATGGGATGAGGAGGAGTGCTAAGAGAAGAAAAGCAAATGTGCCCTTAGACTCTTCTTTCTTAGGAAGAGGAAGCTGAGCTGCATTGCCAAGAAGCTTGGCTGTAGAAGGGTTGCAGTACCTGTTTACACTGCACTCCGCTAGCTTTAAAAGCACAGATCCAAGGGCCTCCAACGGTTAAAGAACTGACTGAATGGTGCTTCCTGGAGCACAGAGAGGGGTGGGAGCACAGACGGTGCTTTCAGCATGAGATGTGACACTTACACAGTCTGGGTTACTGCACGGACTCAGAATTTTGTTGTGATTTTCATGCTGTTGGCTGGGATCAGTGTTTGCAGGAGTGTCTCCCAGCACTGCTCCAGCTGCGACTTCTCATGAAAACACATCCTGCCTTCAGAAGATTCCACTTACAAGTACTATCTATCTCCTGCTAACAATAGTCCTGGGCTGCAGCACCAGCTCTGTGAGTCTCCCTAACTGACAGTCTTTGGGCAGCAGGATGACTTTTTATATTCAGGTGCCCAGCTAAGCCTAGCTGGTGCAATAAGCTCGGTCTGGGAAGCGACAGCCGTTTGTGCCACTGGTGGGACACAATGAAGTGATGCAGCTGGGATCATCACATCGCTGCTGTGACTGCACATGTCCCCAGGCCATGCCCTTGTACAGCTGGGTTTCCCAAGAGCAGCTTCAGCATTATTCAAAGGTGAAGCTGAAATTCAGAGCTCTGACCCCGGGATCATTTACTGGAATCATGCTGCCCTCACACCCCCAGTTCGGTCACATGTCTGACTTCTACTACAAGCTTAGGGAGCTTGGGTTGTGACTATGTTTTGCAGTGAGTAAAACTCAGCTTAGAGTAAACTATTTCTCTGATGATTATGTAATTTTAGTAAGGTGTTTGCAGGGAGATCTTCCCTTTATGCTGGTTGCACAAAACTAATGCCATGCACTACCCACATGAAACAATTGAGCTCCTAGAGGAGAATCTCCTTGTTGTGGACTGATTAACGAGGTCAGTTTGCTTCTCATTTCTAGCTCTCCAACACGCTGCCTGTCATGACTGGCCCGATGATCATGGGGTCTCACATTGTTTCCATCGCAGCATGGTTCTCCCTTGCTCTCTTAACAACAAGCATTTCTCACTGCGGCTACCACCTGCCCTTCCTACCGTCGCCGGAGTTCCACGACTTCCACCACCTCAAGTACGTCTGGGCGCTGCTCAGCTTCCCCTTGCCCTCCCGCCTGCGCCCCGGCACTGCCGATGGGCAAAGCTCCTTCCCGAGGGTGCAGTGGGTTTGTGTAATGCAGGTACGGGTGGAGAAGCCTGGCCGGTTTGCCCGATAGCAGGCTGGGTGCTGTCAGTTCTTAAAGCGGTTCAGCAGAGATGGGGATTTCAGAGGACTCCATCCCGCTGCCGCCGGACACCTCACTGCCACTTACCCTCCTCCATCAGCTGACGTGGAAACTTTCTCCAAAGCACAGACGGGGCAGCTGAGGCTGGGCGTTTCAGGTTTCCTAAAATGACATGGGGGGAAGCACATAGATTATGTAGTAGCAGGTATCACCTGGACTTCCCCCAGCATGAGCACAGGGTCAGAGTCGGTGCTCTTCAAGGCTCTTCCTAGAAATTCAGAAGACACTGCATGTGATCTAGAATAAAGACAGAGCAAGGGCAAGTCACACAGCTGAAATAAATTTGCATGGAGCCTCCCAGTCTGTCCCTCTCCCATACTCGAGGATTAGTAACACTGATCAGATAACACCTTGCCCAAACACAATTAACCCTTTCTGGCAGAGATTCCAGGCCTCCTGTGCTGGAGAGCAGTTTCAGCAGGTTGTTCAGGGATACGTACCACAGCAGTGGAAGTGTTCCCACCTGGCTGTGCACTAAATTCACAGACACGCTCCATCCAACATTTCACCTCTCCTGCAGAACCGTGGCTGCTCTGTTGCCACCCGAATGCTGGGCAACACCCAAACCATGGTGCCAGTTCTCACGAGCAGTCATCCGCCCGGCTCAGGCCGGGACACGGACGCTCTCCGGGCGGAACGGCCGCGCTGGCATCCCGGTGCTGGCAGCTCGGCAGCTCCGCGGCTGCTGGTCAGGGCCACCACGTCTGGGTAACGGCAGCGCCGGAGAGGGAAGTGGCGGGAGAAGTTTCACTCAGGCTTCGTTAGGGCTGCGAGGGAGGTGGGTGCAGTAGCAGAAATCGCGTGGCCGGCTTATCAGGGCTCTGAAGGAGATGGAAACAGGAAGGGCGAGGCAACCTCAGTAACTTCCAGTGATGTTTATTCTGTTTGGTTTCCAGGTTCAACCAGTGCTACGGAGTCCTGGGAGTGCTGGATTATCTGCATGGGACGGATACAGTGTTCAGACAAACTAAAGCCTACGAGAGACACAGGGTCCTCCTCAGCCTGACGCCACTCTCAGAAAGCATCCCCGAGGCACCCAGAAGAGCAGAGTGAACCAGCCCAGCAGCCCGTGGTCCTTGCTGAGCCCAGCGACTCACAGAGCGAAAGACAATGATTTATGCCAAATAGTATTTTAATTGGGAAATGAGTTATTATTCCCACGTAATGAAACCCACAGCTAAACTTAAACATGCTACTTGAGATGAGTGCACTTTTGCTGCCTGTTATTTTCTACCCAATGCACAAAAAACCCCAACTGCTCTAGAAAGCTATTTTTAGACAAAGTTTAAAGTTTGTTTTTTTTTTTTTCCTTAATTACTTGCACTGCTACTTGGTTCTAGCTGCCTGCGCATAAGCCAGATGTGCTCAGGGCCACGTGGCTTTGGGGAGCTCCTGGGGAGTTCTCATTATAAAGGTTTTAACACTTCAGTTCTCACAGGCCATGCTTTGGCCTCTTTCAGCAGCACTCTACAGAAATGCCAGCAAGTTCACCAGAACTACATGTGATAGGATTAAACCCACTATTTTTCTGAGACTCAGAACACCTGGGATATGGGATACACCCCATGGAAAATCAGTGGGGCCAGAGCTTTAGAAACACTCTCCCCTGCAAATGCAACAGAGCCTTGACCTCCCCCCAGCAGTTTTTCATGCGAGGTCAGTAGAGGTCTGAATTAAGGGCTGTCACGCCCTCATCCCCGCTCCACAAACCAGTGTCTGCCAACATAAAGCAGGCTTCCCCCTCGTGGGACAGGGAAGCAGAGCTGGGAGCTGATGGGCTACGTGGCACAAAGAAGGCCTGGTACATCACCTCCTCCTGCTGAGCCTCACCTCACTCCCACACGCCAAAAGGAGGCACAAACCAAAATTCTGTACAATGATAAACTACAGACAGAGACTTTCCAAGGAAAGAAGAGTTGCTGCTGTCCTGAGCTGTGTGCTCAGTGAAACCCTGTAATAAAGGACCCAACAAAAAGCACCCACACCTTGATGCACATCTATAAGCACCCACACAACCAATCTCAAGACATGCTGCAAAATTTCTCCAGGATCTTCTTAAGTCTCAACCCTGCCTGGGGGCCTGGGACAAAAGTGACAAGTCTCTCACCACTGCTAGACCCTGGCTTCCGAGGAGAGGACACGCAGGGCTGACCTGCCCTGCACTTACCTGCTGCCTGCCCAGCTCCGCTCATGGAAGCCAATTCTCTCCCCTCACCCTCCTCCAGTGCCTACAACCACACAGGGATGAAGAATCCTGTTCACCCACCCACAGCGCCCTGGGGAGGGCAAGTCAGCAGAACAGAAGACCCAGGCTGCATTGTCTTTTGAGGTTTTTATTTTTATACATTTTTTTTTTGTATTAAAAAGGAAAAAGCATAATTACCACAAATTACAAAGGACTAAAGCATTACTAGAATAATGAATCACATCAGCCTAGAAAGCAGATACTCTGAATAATATTAATGTTATAATACAAGCTCTCATTCAAGTATTTTACATTTTTCTCTTTTCCTTTTATATGTGATGATGATCCTAGCACATGGGTCAAAGATTATGTACTATCGACAGAAGATGGATCATGTACAGCGGGCCGTATTAACAAGATTTTCCTCCCAAGTGATACATGGTCTGTGATGAGTCATTTTAAGTTTGTCTCTACAATAAATGCAGCTGAAGAAGGTTGCACACACTTTCTAGTTTTGGGAAACAGAAGGCTGAGGTTGGGACACACAGGGTTTGAGAAGGGCCAGCACATGGAACCATCACCCCTCTTTGCTCCAGGCGAGCGAGCAGAGGGCCCCCCTCGCTGGGGCTTTGAGCCACAGATCCAAAGGTTTCCAACCCCAACGGGACCGGGACAGGCTGGGAGAGGAGGAGGGGGAGCGGGGCTGCGCCGGGAGGCTCGAGGGACCAAGTGGTGCCAAGCACCCCCTCCCGCAAGGGGCACCCCCGGCCCCCGCGCGGGGCCGGCACCTGGAGAGCGAGCCGCAGGGGGACGGCGCGGGGACCCCGGGGGTGACCCCAGCAGGGTCCGCAGGGCGCTGGCTGGCACCCAGGGCGCTCCCCGCTCCTCTGGAGCTTCCCACCAAGGGGGTGTGCTTGTCACAGATACGTCGGTCCTATGTTCAAGTGTCTGCAGAAAGTGAAACTGTAAACTACTCATTGAAATGCTGCCCTCCAGCCACTGGCTCCATGCCACCAAGACGAATGTGGGTTGTTTTTTTTTTTTTAAAAAAAAAAAAAAATTATCTATTACCTGTATTGGAAACTTTAAAAAAAACAAAAACAAAAAACCATAGTCAGTGAGGAATTTAACATCAAGTGTAGCAACCCTCTCTTAGTAAAAACCTAGTATCCATTTCAAAACAGTGACAAAGTGACATAACCAGTCTCAGAGGAGAGGGGAGAAAATAAGCATTGCAAACACAGCTTGCTACATTTACAGTTTTCTTTCTTTTTCTTTTTTTTTTTTTTTTTTTTTTTTTGTTTTGTTCCTTTTGATAAAATAACTGGAAAGGCATTAACAGCTAGAAGGCCCCCTCTGCACTGCCATGTGAAACGTGTACAGACACGTGGCAGGATACTGAGGTTAACGCATCATTTTGTTACAGTACGGTCGACCAGTCCCAAGCAAGACGAGCAGTTGCCGAAACTCGAGGGACCCCAAGGGCTACAGTGACAAGCCGCCATCCGGGGTGTGAGGGGGGCAGCAGGAAGAGGGACAGACAGGCAAACAGAGCAGCAAGATTATTACTTTTTTTTAATTTTGAGGGTTTGGGTTTTTTTTTTTGTTTGTTTGTTTGTTTTGTTTTTTTATTCTCCCTCAAACGATCATGGCAAAGCAACAAAGCCTCCTCCAAAACCCACCTTCCACCTCCGCTCCTGACCCCACGCCAGAGCTCTGTACCCCGCTGCAACCGCCTGCGTCCCGCAGACAGGCTGACCTCGGCAAGGGCCCCCCGGCTGCAGCCGCCTGGGACCTCCTGAGAAGGGGGGCGAGATGGGGAGCGCTCCCCCCGCTCTGCCTGCGGGCCCAAAAGCAGCCGGGGCTCCCTCTGGCCGAGCCGGCGGCTGGGTGCCGGCACCGTGCAGCCCTCCCGAGCTGCGGGACGGATCAGTGCTCACAGAGGTACGCGCGACCAACCACTCAGACCACTAAAATTAGAAAGAAAAAAAAAAAAGCAGAAAACACGATCGTGGTGAAGCATCCAAACTAAAAGCAAGGCCAAACTCCCTCCTCGGCAAGAGCTTCCCCAAAAGCCAAACCCCTCTCAGGACAGCCGTCCCGTCGCCCGGCGGTGGAGCGAGCTGTGTGCGATGCTTTCTGCGTGCAGCTACGCAGCAAGAGGCCGGCCGCCTCCGCAGACGTGTCCCCCCCGCCCAGGGGAAGCCCCGCTGCCACCAGCCCCTCCTGCACGGACCACACGCTCCGCAGCCCCGGCCTCCCCCCAGCTCCTGCTGCCGCGCAGGGCCGCGGGATGCTGCCCCCTCCCCAGGGCTCCCTGTGCCCGGGCAGAGGGCAGCAGCCAGCGGTCCCGTGTTCCCTCCGGCCGGAGGAAGACAGCGGGGAGCAAACAACTGCTGCCTCAGGTCCCTCTTCCCTTCGCTCCCCGGCTACGCTGCTGTCCAACAGAGCGTAAAACAAGGCACACGGTCCGCAAATCCGGAGGGCAGCGGGACCGCTGGGATTGCTCTTCTGACCCACCTTCGGGGGGGGGGTGGGTTTTCAAACGGGGCCCTCAGCCACACTGATGTGACAAACCACTGACTCAGCAGAGAGGGGGGGAAAACTCTTCTGTGCCAAGACTAGAGTCTCAGCCTTCGCAACTAAAAAAATAATTGAAAGTCAATTAATATTTTGGGAAATTCTCACCTCTTCTACCACATAAGCAATTCCACAGTCTGCTCCACACACAGTAACTCCACAGCAGGAGCTTGTTCCTCTTAATTTCCTACTTCGTTTGTTGCTAAAACGCAGACAATTGGCTTCAAAAGAGAACACGCACCGATGACAGGAGCATGGGGACACAGCAGCAAGGACCACCCGTGGCATGTCCAGACCCGCTTCCACTTGCAAACCAACCAGCAACGCATCTCCAATGCCCTTGATCAACCCCCACCTCCAGCCTCCAAGGCTCCTCCTTCCCACATCGGGGTTAAACCCAGCCGCATCCTTAACCTCAGAGATCTGACTCCAGCTCACGAGAGAAGGGAAATCCAGGGATAACAGTCACAGCCACAGCACTGTACAAGTGTTATTTGCCCGTCTTGCCCAGTTACCACCCCGCAACCCCAGAGCACTGCTGCTGTAACGGAGCAAGCTGCGGACTCAGGCTGGCATGCCGGAACGGGGCCCGCGAGCGGTACCACGCTGCAGGGTGATGCGGCAGGGGCGGCCGGGCCAGGATCACACCACCAGGAAACGGCAAAGTAGCAGCCACCCAGCCTCACTCACACCCAGCTGTGCTTTCGATTCTAGCAGCAGTTCACGAAGCTGCTCCACGCGGACCAGCCCACCCCCACCCCAACCACCCCCCCCACTCCCCCCCCTCTCTACTAAAGCAGCATCTTCAACGCAGTGTCAGTTCGGGAAGGTGGTAACTGCAGCCAAGGCCCTGCGAGCACCCGCAGCCACTGCTGATCCACAACTTGCCCAAGCTCACCCTCTTCATCTCTGCTCTTGGCTCCGGGCTGCTCTCACCCGCCAGCCCCACAGCTGCACTGGGACAGCCCTGGGGACACGACTCCTCCCAGCTATGAGACGCAGCTCTGGATCAACTGGATACTTTGGGAGAACACTGTTCGTTACCAGGCTGTGATTTGGCAGGGAGGGGTAATGCAATCAGCTGCATCTCTGAGTAGCCCACTGCGGTGCCCTTTGCAGGAGCGCGCTTTGGGAGTGCCGGAGCCACAACCAAGCCAGCTGCAAAGCAGGTATCCCGACACCACAGAGGGAGCACAGCGGCAGCAAAGCAAGCGGCTCTGGCTGAAAAGGAGGTTCTACCCTTATGGCAGGAGCACGACTTTACAGGGCTCCTTCTGGGCCCCAGGAGCAGGTCTCCCCCCTCTGACATATGCCCCCTGCAAGGGAACGCAGCTCATGAGCCTGGGGAGGGTCTGCCCGCTGAAGCCCACCCAGTGCTGGGCAGAGGAACCAAGTAAATGCCACAGCAGCTCTGCAGCCATCCCCCTGCTTCAGCCGAGCAAGGAGCAGCACGGTGTTATCGCAGCCCTGAGAGCTGCACAGGGACAGCGCCCTGAGCAGGAGACTCCACACAGCCGCCTGCCAACACACGATGCACAAAGAAACCCAGGCGAGAGCCCTCCTCTGCCAGGCAGGTCTTCCACTCGCACCCAGCACAAGTCCCACCAGCACCCCCAGGCCAGTGACGGCTGCAGGACACTGAGTTCGCTGGGGCTGCGTCGCTCCGTCGTCAGGCTACAGCATTAAGCGGCACCGGGGACACGCCAGCCCTCCCACTCGCTCGCAGCAAGGACCAGTCCCTCCAGCTGCTGGGACAGATCTCCCCACTCACCTCCCCACCACGCTGGACTCACAGACTGGAGCAGACCGACCTCCTGCCCCAGCCTGCCTGGGGAGGGCGCGGGGGGTCCGAGCGAGGCCGTAAGCATGTACAGTCGCTGTCGCGGGGAGGATGCTACAATGGAATATACACAACGTAGCGGCTTCAACTACTTTGTGAGCACAAGTCTTGGATTTGACTGCCCTTGGCGCCTTCCCTCAGCAGAATCAGGGCTGGCAGGGGGTCTCCGCGATGGTGGGAGGCATCCGAGCGAGCTGTGGGGTCAGGAAAGGCCGTGGGGAAGATCAGCTCGGCAGCAATGCCATGAGGAGTCTCTGGGCCAGGGGGGCCGAGAGCCCAGCACACCCCAGGGCGCAGGAAGCCAGAGAGCCTCCTCGGTCCAGCTCCACCATAAGGCAACTTTTTTTTTTGTGTTTTTTGTTTTTTGTTTTTTTGTGGTTTTTCTTTTTTTCTTCAATAATATTTCCAAGGAAGAAAGCAAAGGGAGATGTGTCTTTTTAAAGAGTTTTTGTTGTTGTTGTTTTAGAGGGGTTTGTGGGGATTTTTTTTTTCGTTATTATTTCATTTCTGCAAGGGAAAAGGAAGAGAAAAATCTCCTTCAGCAAAGTCCCGTCTTTGCGTGCGATGGGCATTCCTGGGGCAGTGGGGGCACCGTCCAACACAGGCTTGAGTCCAGGTGCCTGCCGGCCTCCCACCAGCCGTCCTCGCAGGAAGGAGTCAGAACAAGCCTATCCTTGGCAAAGGTCCTTTGGTTGACTTCCAAATTGTCCACGATGGAAGGGAGAGGCGGGCAGAGGGAGAGCCAGACCCTCGGGAAGGTGAGAGGCGAAGACGCCGGGGAGGAGGGGTCAGGAGGACGAACAGGGCCATGCTCCTGTCGCGGCGGTCGGTGTCGGAGAGGCACCGCCGTACGTGGAATGGGAGATGTCAGCCAGGTCATGGAGATCAGAGGCTCCGCAGCATCGCGACACGCTGCGGCTTCGGTCCCCCAGCGGGGAACCTCGCTCCTCCGAGCCTCCCGAGCGGGCTGCCCTGCGATCCGAGGGGAGACACAGAGGGGAGTTGTTGGGGCCGCACAGAGCAGACTTGTTTTGGTAAATCCAGACAAACTTCTAGCAATAATTTAAAACTTGATATATATATATAATAATAAAAAAAATCTCCCCTTTCCAACCCAGCCAGAACATATTTTTTTTTTTTTTTCCCCCGAAGAGACACTAAGACATGAGTGTGTGCACAGGAGGGGAGGGAAAGCAAAGGGTGGGTCTGCTGGGAGCGGGTCTGGCTCTGGTCAGGGTTGTAATAGCAAAATGGTGTTTTAGATACAGATCGTCTTTGCTTTCCAGCCACAAGAGAAAAAATCATGTGCGCTGAAGTTTCTCCCGAGCAGCCTATTCCTGGGTACCCACCTTCCAGCTCCCTTCCTGTCCCACCCCCTCACGTCTCCCCTTCTCCGAGCCATTCCCCCACCAACCCACCCCATTCCCCAGCAGGAAGCAGACGCTGCAGCCTCTCTACTTCCCCACTGTCTGCGATTCTGCAGCTGACAGGGCGGGGGATTGCTGGCTCCGGTTTTTGGCATCCTCTTGCGCAGGCTGGCTGGGTGAGGCGTGGGCTTGGCTGGATGGGCACTGGCTGACCGTTTTGCTGGAAGACTGGGATGGGTAGCGCTTCCTGCCATCTCCCCCTGACGTCGTAGGGTATCTCTTGTGTCCACCTTCCTCCCCCATGGGTGGCTGGAAGAAAAGCACCCCAGGATCAGCACAGCCTCCTCCAAATGCAGATGCCCTCCCCCTGGATCAGGGGGACAGCCTTCCTGCAAACCTCCTGTTGCAACTTCTCTCCCTGACCCACAAAGAACTCGCCTCGAGCACACAGCTGTCCTCCTCTCCAAGTCTACCGCGGACAGATTTGCTGACAGAAAGACTGACTGACTTCCAATCAAGCCCAAGGG